TGCAGATCCTTCTTCTTATCCCTGTATTGTTCCACCAACCTCCTAATAAGGTGGATAGCTTCCATCGTGGAGCGGCCCGGCATGAACCCAAACTGATTGTCGAATATAGACGTCGTCTTCCTCACCCTCACCTCCACCACTCTCTCCCAGACTTTCATGGTATGGTAAGTAACTTGATACCCCTATAATTGTTACAACACTGGATATCACCTTTGTTCTTGTACAACGATACCACTGTACTCGACCTCCATTCCTCCAGCATCATCTTCGTCCTAAAAATTACATTGAACAACCCAGTCAGCCATTCCAATCCTGCTCTACCCACACACTTCCAAAACTCCACCGGAATTTTATCTGGCCCGGTCGCTCTACCACTACTCATCTTACGCAATTTCCCCACGACCTCCTCCACCTTAATGAGCCTGCAATACCTAAAATCTTGGGGACTCTTCGAATGCCCTAAGTCCCCTAGCGCTATATCCCGGTCCCCCTCCTCATTCAGAAGACCGTAAAAGTACGTTTGCCATCTCTGCTTAATCTGAGACTCCCATCAATACTCTACCATCCTCGTCTTTGATGCACCTTACTTGGTCTAGATCCCAGGCCTTCCTTTCCCTCGCTTTAGCCAGCCGAAACAACTTCCTTTCCCCGCCTTTCTCCCCTAATTCCTCGTATAGACGGCTAAACACTGCATTCTTAGCCTCCGTGACCGCCAGCTTTACCTCCTTCCTAGCCACTTTGTACCTCTCTCTATTCGCACTCCTCTCCTCCTCGCTTGTGTTCCCTGCTAACTTCGCATACGCTACCTTCTTCGCCTCCACTTTACCTTGGACTGTGTCATTCCACCACCAGTCTCCTTGGTGCCTGCCAGAAAAACCCTTCGATACACCTAGCACCTCTCTCGCCGCCTCCCTCACATAGTTCGTCGTCGTCGACCACATAGTGCTCGCGTCTCCACTACTCCTTCAAGCTCTCATAGCAGATAACCTCCCCTCCAACTCCCGAGCTTTATCCTTGGTTAAAGCTCCCCATCTAATCCTCGGTCGGCCACGAGCATACCTCTTCTTCCTCTTCACCATAATGCCGATGTCCATCACTAAGAGCTTATGCTGAGTCGCGAGGGTCTCTCCCGGGATAACCTTGCAATCCTTGCACAACCCTCTATCACACCTTCTGAGGAGAAGGTAATCGATCTGAGTCTTCACCGCCGAACTCTGGAAAAGTCACCAGATGCTCCTCCCTCTTCGGAAAAGTCGAGTTCGCAATCACCAGCTCGAAAGCTTTAGCGAAGTCTAACAGCGAAGTACCTCCTCCGTTCTTATCCCCAAAGCCAAAGCCACCATGCACCTCGCCATAACTACCAACAGCCGCCCCAATATGGCCATTAAAATTCCCTCCAATAAATAACCTTTCAGTAGGTGGAATACTGCACACAATCTCGTCCAAGCCCTCCCAAAAGTGCCTCTTAACCTCCTCATCCAAGCCCGCTTGCGGGGCGTAAGCGCTAACGACATTGAGGATGCATTCACCGATCACCAACTTAATAAACATCAGCCTATCATTCACTTGCCTAACCTCAACCACAGACTCTCTAAGATCCCTATCCACAAAAGATACCCACTCCATTCTTACCCCTCACGACTCCAGAGTACCACAACTTATACCCATCCGCA